TAAGACTCCTGTTTCCATTGACCCCCCGCGAGCGAGCGTGCGGCAATTAGCGGAGAGGGCGGGGTCTGAGCCCCCCCGCCTCCCACCTTCTTCACTCTGATTGGTCGCTGCCGGAGGCGGCTCCAGGAACACGCCCACCTTCTCCGCATTCTGATTGGCTGTCGGGAATTGGAGCAGTGGGAGGGGTGCACTGTTCTGTGTGCTGATTGGCCCGACTGCGGTCCTCCGCGGGCCCACTGAGCTGGCCGGGCGAGGGGTGTCGTGCAGTTCAGGGACTGCAGCAGGTGGCGGCCCCCGTTGTCCGAGCCCGTGTGCGCCGCTTCCGGCCGGTGCTGCCTGTGGGCACCACTCTGAGGCGTGTGTGGTTGCTAGCAAGATTTGCACGGAATTTCCTCCTTTTTTTTTAAGGAGAAAAAGAAATGAAACAGCCGTCGCTGTTCAGGAAGCTGCAAGACCTCACTGCGATTCAGTTCAGGTGGAGAGCTGGGGATCCTTGCTGTAAAATAGGAAGCTGTTGAGAGCAGGGGGCTGATGTGACAGGGTTATTCGTTGTGTACTTGCCTTGAAGCAGTTGAAACCGTACAGAGATATATCTAATAGGGATGTGTGTGTCCATTAATGTGTGTGGCTGAAGAATACATGCCATAATAAACATAGTGATCCTACTACTCTCTGTCTCTGAAACGAGGGGAATCGCGTTAGGTATTCAACTTCCATTGTGTTTGCGTCTCCATCTATATTAATAGGTGCAGTTAATAGATAATAACTGTTACGCCATGCTCCCCAAACCGCTCAGTGCTGCCCTCCTGTGCCTCCACCTGCGCGTTGCAGCCAGGAGAAAAGGGCAGGTAACAAGAAATGCGGCCCAGTGTTTCCCTCGCGTGTTTCTAACTGGGCTTCGCAGCCAGGGAGGTGCGGGCTGGCAGGTAACAAAAGCGGCTCCGCGTTGCCGTCCTGCGCTTCACACGGGGCCCGGCAAACGGGAAGGAAAGCCAGAACAATACAAAGCTGCTCAGTGCTGCCGTCGTGTGGTTAAGACAGGGCGGTGCAGCCGGGAGAAAAGGGCAGAGAGAGAAGAGAAAGGCCTCGCTCGCTCGCTCGCTCGGGCCGGAACCAGGGCCGCGCCCGCGGCCGGGGAGGCGGGTTCGTGCTGCTCGGGGCGGACACACGATTCCCGGGACGTTGATCCCGGCTCCGGGAGCGCGGCAGGGCCGCGATCGGAGCCTCGTGTTCCCGTTGGGCGCTAGGAGGAGCGCGGCGATTAGCTGCGAGGGTTGTATAGGTGGAGTCGATGCCGGTCCGCCTTGCTTTGCTCTGATTGGCCTCTGCCGAGGGAGGCGGATCCAGGCGCGCGCTCGCTTGCCCGCCTTCTCCGCACTCTGAATGGCTGTCAGGGATTTGTGAGCGGGGCTCCCTGCTCTGCGTGCCGATTGGTCCGACTCCGATGCCCGGCGGAGCTTTCCAGCTGGCTGGCGCGGGGCGTGTGCCGAGGGGCCGGCCCGGGTGCGGCCCCCTTTTCCCGAGCCCCGTGCCCCGCTCTCGGCCCCGTGCGGCTCTGCTCAGAGGTATAGCAATATTTGCACGGACTCTCCCTTTCGTAAAGAGACAACTAAAGACAAGGCCACGGTTGTTGAGCAAACACTGCAAGACCTCACTTCAGTTGTAGTGCGGAGTCCGGGATTCCGGGTGTAAAATAGGGGGAGGGAGGGATCGAAGAGCCAGTGATCGTCACTGTGTAATTACTCTGATGGACTTGAAACTGTACCGGGATGTGTCTACAAGCATGTGTGTGTACATAGATGTGCCCACGATGCGTGTGCAGAATACGTGCCATAAGAAATACAGTGATCCTACCGCTATGTTTCTGTCTCTCTAAGTGAAAGAAGGGAATCACTTTAGCTTTCCAAATACCATGACGGCTGCGTCTCGGTATATACTTAAATGGGCAGGTAACAGATACGCAAGGGGCAGGTCCTGCTTCCATCTCTAGAGCGTGAAAGGAACCCCCAGTGCTGCCCTCCTGTGCCTCGCCCTGCGCACTGCAGCCAGGAGACGAGGGCGGATCACAAGGGAATCGGCCGGGGCCTCGCGGCCCGGAGATCCTGGCACGTCACAAACCCGGCTTCGCTCTGGGCCCGGCAGCCAGGACATTCAGCCAGAGAAATAAAAACATGCTGCACAGCGGGCATTGCAGTCGGGCGACAAGGGCAGAGACAGAAGAGGAAAAAAGGCCTCGCTCGCTCGGGGCGTCACTCGAGCGGTGCTCGCGGCCGGGGAGGACGCACGATTCACTGAAGTTGATTCAGGGCCGAGGCGCGCGGCAGGGCCGGGATCGGCGGCTCGCGTGTTCATTGGCCACCTTGAAGCATTTGGGTGGAGTGGACGCATGGGCGGGGTCAGGGCCGCACCGGCCTTCTGCACTCTGATTGGTTTTTGCGGGAGAACGGCTCCGCGCCCTCTTTTCCCAAGAGAACACCCCCCCCCCCGGCCTTGTTTGCATTCTGATTGGATGCCCGGGAACGGTGCGGTGTACGTGCTTCTGCGTGCCGATTGGTCCGATTTCGATCCGCAGCGGCCCCGGTCAGCTGTTTGTTTGCCCACTGCCGGGTCCGGGGAGCCCGTAGCCCGCGTCCCGCTGCTGCCGCGGACACGCGGACGATCCCGCAGCGCTGCGGCAGGCTGTTCTGGCGACCGCTGTGGGCCGTGCGGGTGACGGGGTTCCCCACCCTGCGGGGCCTGTCAGGTTCTCTTCTGAGGTTGGTGTTGAAGCTTGAAGCTGTTCGTGTGTCCCGGTGCCCCTTTTCTCTCCGCCTGCCGCCTGAGGAGCCACCCTGTCTCCTCGACGTGACGGGGGTGCACGTGGGCCCCAAGAAGCACCGTCTGCTTCTCGGCTGACGCTGAAACCTCTCTAGAAAGCACCACATCTCCCCCTTTTAACGAGAAAAAAATTGAAAACCTGTTGTTGTTCAGGAAGCACCGCGGGGCATCACTTCAATTCTAGGGGAGAGGGTGGGATCCTTGGTGTAAAACAGTATAATATTGAGGACGGGGAGTTGAAGTGACGGTGTTATGCATTGCGACACTTACTTTGAAAAACTTAAATTGTACAGAGATGTATCGAATAAGGATGTGTGCGTATCCCGACCTGGAGATAGTGTGTCTGTGTGTAATACACACCATAATTAACACAGTGATCCTATTACTACCTCTCTCTCTGTCTCTGTCTCTGTCCGTGGCGATAGTAATACAGCTGTCCATCTATCATCTTTGCATACAACCGCATACTGGTGTCTGTAGTTAGTACATACGTAATAGGTGTCATGTGCATCCACACTGTATGGAAAAAAAACCCGGCTCAGTGCTGCCTTCCGGTGGTTCGCTCCGAGCACTGCAGCCCCGAGGAGCGGCGTCGAGGGCTGGAGGAGAACCCGCTGCTCGGTGCTGCCCTCCTGTGACCCCGTCGGGGCTTCGGCGCAGCAGGTGGAGGCGGAGAAAAAGCCGGGCTCAGAGCCGCCCTCCTGTGGCCCCGCCGGGCATTGCTAGGGGGAGACCCGGGCAGGCACCGAAGCCAGCTCTGCGCCGCCCGCCTGGGGAGCGGGGCTCGGAGCCCGGAGACACGGGCAGGGAACTCAGTGGCTCGGTGCCGCCCTTCTGTGCCGCAAACTGGGCATCGCAGCCAGGAGAAAGCCAGAGAAAAAAAACCGCATCCTGTGCTGATAAGTGGGCATTGCAGCGTGGAGGTACTGCCTACCCGTAAAAAACCGGCTTCGAGCTGCCGTGCTGGGCTTCTCAGCCAAGAGATGAGGGCAGAGAGAAAAAAAACCCGGCTCCGGCCGCGCACCTGTAGCTCCGGCAGCCGGCAGATAAAGGCAGAGACAGAAGAAGAAAACGGCCGCGCTCGCTCGGGACGCAACTCGAGCAGGGGCCGGGGCCAGGCGGGTTCGTGCCGCTCGAGGCGGACACACGATGCCCGGGACAGGGATCCTGGCCCGCTGGAGCGCGGCAGGGCCGGGATCGGAGCCTCGTGTTTCCATTGGCCGCCTTAAGGCACGCGGCGATTGGGTGGGGTGGTGGCCTGGGGCGGGATCAGGGCCGCCCCGCCCTTCTTTGTTCTGATTGGTTCCTGCCGTAGGAGGCGGGCTCAGGAGGCTCCGGAGGCGTGGTGGGTAGCGTGCGGGCTTCCGTGCGCGGATTGGTCCGATTCCGATACCCAGCGGCCCCGCTCAGCTGTCCGCGTGCCCCCGACGGGTCCGCGGTGCCCGGAGCCCACGCCCCGCCGCTGGCCCGGACAGCGCGCGAGCTGCGGCAGGATGTCGTGGCGACCGCGTGCGGGAGATGGCGCTCCCCACGGCCACGTGTGAGCGGGGCGAGCGGGGGAGGAGGCGCTGCGGGGGCGGGCTGCGGCTCGGCGCAGTCCCCGAGGGCCTC